TTCACGGTGAGAAGCAAGAGATTGAGAGGTTCCTTCAGTTTCTTCTCTTCCTGTCCTTATTTCTGGAAGTTTCTATTTAACAGAATTTCAAGGGACTTCCCTGGCGGTCCGGTGGTTAAAACTCTGCACTTCCACTGCGGGGGGCGTGGGTTCGATCCCTGGTTGGAGAACTATGATCCAACATGCCGCGGTGTGGCCAAAAAAATAACTAAAACTAAAGACAAAACAAACAAAACAAACAAACAAACAAAAAACACCAGAACCTCAAGCCTCAAGGTTTGCCAAAAACAAACAAAAGAAACAAAAACAAACAAAAAGCGGTACTGTTAAACTTTGTTGGTGATGGGTTTCTTTTTTTTTTTTAATTTATTACTTTATTTTTGGCTGCGTTGGGTCTTCGTTGCTGCACGCAGGCTTTCTCCAGTTGCCGCGAGCGGGGGCACCTCTTCGTTGCGGTGCGCGGGCTTCTCATTGCGGTGGCTTCTCTTGTTGCGGAGCACGGGCTGTAGGCGCGCGGGCTTCAGTAGTTGCGGCACACGGGCTCAGTAGTTGTGGCTCGTGGGCTCTAGAGCTCAGGCTCAGTAGTTGTGGCGCACGGGCTTAGTTGCTCAGCGGCATGTGGGATCTTCTCGGACCAGGGCTCGAACCCGTGACTCCTGCATTGGCAGGGGGATTCTTAACCACTGAGTACCAGGGAAGTCCCCATGGTGATGGGTTTCTTTCTTTCCTTCTTTCTTTCTTTGGGGAGAGGGGAGAGGGAGAGGGATAATGCTAATTAACAAATATTGAGTGTTTTTATAGAGACTTTCACACCATTTGATCACACTTGAGTTCCATGACAGCCCTCTGAGAGCAGCCTGTTATCCTCATGGAGGATGAGAGGTTAAGGTACCCTAATCATAGCCAAGCAAAGGTGGGAACAGGGGCTTACATCCAGGTCTTCTATTGTGGTGTCTGGCAAACCCCACAGGACAAGGCTGCTCTCCCTTTAGTCCTCTTCCCATAACTGGATTTTTTTTCACTTTTAAAAATATTGTGGCAAAATCTCTATAACATAAAATTGGCCATTTAGGGGCTTCCCTGGGAGCTCAGTGGTTAAGAATCCACCTGCCAATACAGGGGTCATGGGTTCAAGCCCTGGTCCGGGAAGATCCCACATGCTGCGGAGCAGCTAAGCCCGTGCGCCACAACTACTGAGCCTGCGCTCTAGAGCCCTTGAGCCACAACTACTGAAGCTCGCGTGCCTAGAGCCCGTGCTCCGCAACAAGAGAAGCCACTGCAATGAGAAGCCCGCGCACAGCAACGAAGACCCTACGCAGCCAATAAATAAATACATTTTTTAAATAAATAAAATTGGCCATTCTAACCATTTTAAAGTGTACAATTCAGTGGCATTCATTACATTCACAATGCTGTGCAACCATCACCACTATTTATTTCCAAACCTTTTTCATTGTCACAAAGAGAGACTCTGTAGCCCCCTCGTGGGGACTGGACATGATCAAAGTCTAGCTCAGCTCTGTATTCGGGAACCAGGAGCTGCTTCTAAGGGAAGAACTCTGTGCCAAAGGATGTCTTGACCCAGCAGACACCGAGTACTGGGATCGGGCAGGGGCAGCCTCCCTCGAGGGCTCAGTCCATACGGCAGCTGCTGGGTGAGGGGGCAGTCAGGCCCTGGGACAGAGTGTCCTCTGTAAATAAAGCTCCCAGGATCCCTCAGAGCACAAACATCAGCCCTGCTCCCGGGGTCACTGTCTCTGTCGAGCTGAGCCCAGCCACAGTAGGACTAGAAGAAAACCTTCAACCACATTCCCAGCTCTGGACTGGGCTCAAGATCCCCACAGATTAGACCACAACCCCTTGGAAATTTTAAATAATTATGTTTATTAGTTACAGAATTTTAAAAACTATAATTATAGGAAATTTGGAAAATACAATAAAGAAGAAAGAAAACGCCACCCACTGTTATGGCTACCATTTATTCAGGGATTGCTGTATGTCAGGCCCCTTACGGGCATTATTCCATTTGCTCTTCAATAAAACCCTGAGGTGTAGATTATTTTTATGCCCATTTTATAGATGAGGCAACTGAGGCCCCGAGAGAAAATCTAAGTGAATTTGTCCACAGTTACACAACTGAGATGATACATACTGGATGATAGAGAGTACTGGAGCTGGGATTCAAATCCAAGTTCATCTTGAGCCCTTTTCAACAAAATATTATGTTGAAATGTACAAAGTTGACTTACAAAAGTAGTAGTGTCATGCAGTTCAACCTAATGGTGTTTTTTTAATGGTCCTACCACTAATATTGATTAATATTTCATAAATTTCCTTCTGGTCTTTTATACATCTTTTGATCATTGGGACCATATTTTTCATACAATTTTATATCCTTTTAAAAATTTCTTTACATTATATCTCTTATCATATTACTATAGATGCTTCATGACATCATTTTTTTTAACATCTTTATTGGAGTATAATTGCTTTACAATGTTGTGCTAGTTTCTGCTATGTAGCAAAGTGAATCAGCTATACGTATACCTATATCCTCATATCCCCTCCCTCTTGCATCTCCCTCCCACCCTCCCTATCCCACCCCTCTGGGTGGTCACAAGCACCGAGCTGATCTCCCTGTGCTACATAGCTGCTTCCCACTAGCTATCTATTTTACATTTGGTAGTGTATATATGTCAATGTATATATGTCTCTCACTTCATCCCAGCTTACCCTTCCCCTTCCCCATGTCCTCAAGTCCATTCTCTATGCATGACATCATTTTAATAGCTATGTAATCGTCCATAGGGTATATGTATTTCTTTGTTGTTGGATACATAGATGGTGACTGATTTTTCGCTGTTATACATAACACCGTAGTGAGTAACTTTGTGCCCAAAGCCTTTTCCCTCTTTAACGCTGTATTTTCCCTCTTTAACACTGTATTTTCAAGCACCACAATCTACTGTAGTTGGTCTCCCTCACTCATCTAAGCTTCGTGAAGACAGGGCCAGGTCAGTGTGCCCTCCATTTTATCCCCGGCAACTGTCTGCAACAACACAGGGATTTGATAAGTATTTGTGAAATAAATGAAGAAATGAGTGGGGGTAAAAAACAATAAACAATAAAGTGAGAGGACTTGAGGTCACAAAAGTGTTTTCCTTTCTTTTAAAATTTTTTAAAAAATTTTTATTGGAGTATAGCTGATTTACAGTTATGTTAGTTTCAGTTGTACAGCAAAGTGAATCAGTTATATGTATACATATATCCACTCATTTTTTAGATTCTTTTCTCATATAGGCCATTACAGAGTATTGAGTTCCCTGTGCTATACAGTAGGTTCTTATTAGGTATCTATTTTATATATGTAGTGTGTACGTCAATCCCAATCTCCAGTTTATCCCTCCCCCCCCTTATCCCCTGGTAACCATAAGTCTGTCTTCTACATCTGTGACTCTACTTCTGTTTTGTAAATAAGTTCATTTATATGATTTTTTTAGATTCCACATATAAGCGATATCATATGATATTTGTCTTTCAGTGTCTATGTCTTACTTCACTCAGTATGACAATCTCTAAGCCCATCCATGTTCCTGCAAATGGCATTATTTTGTTCTTTTTTACATCTGAGTAATATTCCGCTGTATATATGTACCACATCTTCTTTATCCATTCCTCTGCTGATGGACATTTAGGTTGCTCTTTTTTTTTTTAAAAGGATGTTTGCAGATGTAATTATTATTTTATTTATTTATTTTTGCTGTGTTGGGTCTTCGTTTCTGTGCGAGGGCTTTCTCTAGTTGTGGCAAGCAGGGGCCACTCTTCATCGCAGTGCATGGGCCTCTCACTATCGTGGCCTCTCTTGTTGCAGAGCACAGGCTCCAGATGCGCAGGCTCAGTAGTTGTGGCTCACGGGCCTAGTTGCTCCGCGGCATGTGGGATCCTCCCAGACTAGGGCTTGAACCCGTGTCCCCTGCATTACCAGGCAGATTCTCAACCAGTGCGCCACCAGGGAAGCCCTAGGCTGCTCTTTTTAACAAAATTTTTAAAAATTGAAGTACAGTTGGTTTACAATATCGTGTTAGTTTCAGGTGTACAGCACAGCAATTCATTTACTTTACATGTAAGTAAATATATATATGTTCTTTTTCAGATTTTTTTCCCTTATAGGTTATTACAAAATATTGAATATAGTTCCTGTGCTATGCAGTAGGTCCTTGTTGGAAGTGTTTTCCTTTCTGAAGGAAAGAAATAACGGGCAGGCATGTGTAACAGGGGAAGCTCAAATAGTCATGCAGAAGAATCTGATGGAATTCACCTATTTGTCTATTTATTTATTTAAAAGTTTTATTATTTTTTTAATTTATTTTTGGCCCCTTTGGGTCTTTGTTGCTGCATGCGGGCTTTCTCTAGTTGCGTCAAGTGGGGGCTACTCTTCATTGAGGTGCGCAGGCTTCTCAGTGCGGTGGCTTCTCTTGTTGCAGAGCACAGGCTCTAGGTGTGCAGGCTTCAGTAGTTGCGGCATGTGGGCTCAGTAGTTGTGACTCACGGGCTCTAGAGTACAGGCTCAGTAGTTGTGGTGCACGGGCTTAGTTGCTCCGTGGCATGTGGGATCTTCCCAGACCAGGGATCAAACCCGTGTCTCCTGCATTGGCAGGCAGGTTCTTAACCACTGCGCCACTAAGGAAGTCCCCCACTGGTGTCTTTTAGTGAGTAGATGTTCTTAACTTAAATGAGATCCAATTTATTCATTTACGGTTAATGCTTTTCATTTCTTATTTTAGAAATATTTGCCTATGTTAAGATCATGAAGTTATGGAGCATGAATTTTTAATACTTTTCCTAAAGAAAATTAACCTTTGGAATATATTATATGTGATCATTCATAAATTTTTTTAACAATCACTTAATGAATCCCCATGTGTGCCAGGCAATGTGCTGGGTATTATAAGGGATATAATTATGGCTTGTATCCCTCTTGCACTCTAGACGGATCTAAAGCGGCTCAGAGAGGTGATGTCACTTGCCCCAGTTCACACCGCTGCTTTGCTGGGTTAAAACACGGGACTGACTGATTCCAGAGTCTGAGCACACCATGAGCTCCTCTGTCTCCAGGACTGTTGAGCCACCAGGAGTGGATTTTTGATATATTCTAGTTGGTAGTTTCCAGGTCACCTCGGGAAAATGTAGAGTCAAATAAGGAGACAAAAACACACGGTCAAAAGCCGAAAAACCCCCCAAAAGCTTATGGTTCATGTTTGTACTATGAGGGAGATATGAGTCACATGCTTGAGAGAAGGGAGAGGATGCTTTTGGCTCAGGCTAATGGAAGGCTTCTCAGTGTACCCTTGTTGGCCCTGAAAAGGTGAGCAGAATTCAGATCATTTTAGGGAGAGAGCATCCTAGGGAAAGGGACCAGCAGGCACAAAGGCGCAGAGCAGAGATGCCCAGAACACCTCCTGAGTGGGTATCTTAATCAGGAAGTGATCAGCTCCAAGTAACAGAATACTGATCGAAAGTGCCTTAAACAAGGTCAGTTATTCCCTCACTGAACCATAAGTCTGCAGGTAGGTGGTTTCCAGGGTTTGTCCCGCAGCTAAACAATGTTATCAAGGCCTGTTCTTCTAGCCCTCGCCAGCATTGCCTGTCCACGGAGAGATGGCTGCTCCTCTGATTTCATCCTCCCACCACCAGAGCTCCAAGAAGAAAAGGGAGGTGGCCGCTTCCCCTCCCACACCCCCTCCCATTCTTTATCAGGGTACAAAATCTTTCCCACTTAGGTCCCAAATAGAACCACACCTACTTTTTTTTTTCTTTTTCTTTTTCTTTTGGCAGTGCTCGGCTTGCAGGAGCTTAGTTTCCCGACCAGGGATCGAACCTGTTCCCCCTGCAGTGGAAGCGTCGAGTCCTAACCACCAGACCGCCAGGGAATTCCCACACACCCACTCTTTTTTTTTTCGGTACGCGGGCCTCTCACTGCTGTGGCCTCTCCCATTGCGGAGCACAGGCTCCGGACACGCAGGCTCAGCGGCCATGGCTCACGGGCCCAGCCGCTCTGCGGCATGTGGGATCTTCCCGGACCGGGGCATGAACCCGCGTTCCCTGCATCGGCAGGCGGACTCTCAACCACTGCGCCACCAGGAAAGCCCCTCTCTCTTTTTTTAAATTGACATATAGTTGATTTACCATGCTGTGTTAGTTTCAGGCATACAGCAAAGTGATTCAGTTAAATATATATATATATATATATATATATATATATATGTTCTTTGTCAGATTCTTTTCCATTATAGGTTATTACAAAGTACTTAGTATAGTTCCCTGTGCTATACAGTAGGTCCTTGTTGGTACAAGTATTTTTAAATAAAGCTTTTGTTTCACATGTACATCATCAATGTGTCCTGGGTCACGTTCAAAAAAGTTTTGAAAACACAGGAACTAGATAACAGGCTAGACACAGGCATGGGAAGGGCCAGGGCTATCTGTATCTGGGCAACAAAAACAGGGAAGTGAGGGGCTAGTTTCTGGGGAAGATGATGACTTTCATTTTGAACCCACTGATTCTGATTTACAGTAAATCATGCGTAGTGGTTGCCTCTTACTACTTCCAGGCTCTTGTCAAAGTAATTCTGAATGAATGCTCTGAGGAATGAGGGAGTTTCCCCTCAAGGTCATTAATAATCAGCTCCAAAGGAGAGATGAAAGTTTAATAGGGGAAGTAACATTTACTGAACACTTATTCTACGCCAGGCTCTCTGCATCCAGTCTCTAACGAGAAATCCTCTCAGCAGGATTTCCTGGCGGTGTGAGGCAGGTACCGTTACCTCCATTTCACAAATGAGGAAGCTGAGGTTCAGAGGGGATGAGAAACTGTCTAAATTGTGCAGACAGCAAGTCATTTGTTGTATCTTGCCAGTGAACCACAGCATCTCAGAAAGCATCAATCACCAGTGTTCCGTATGGCCTCGTGTATTGGTTTTCTAGGGCTGCTGTAACAAATCGCCATAAACTGGGTGGCTTAAAACGACAAAAATGTATTCTTTCACAGCTCTGGAGCCCAGAAGCCTGAAATCAAGATGCAAGCAGGGTTGGTTCCTTCTGCAGGCAAATCTGCATCATGCCTGTCTCCCAGCTTGTGGTGTGTGTGACCTGCTGATGATCCTTGGCCTTGGCTTGTAAATGCTCCGCCCCCATTTTCACCTGCATTCACAGGGTCCTCTTCTTATAAGGACACCAGTCATATCAGATTAGCTGCCCCCCACCCCCTGTAGTATGATGGCATTTTAATCTTAACTGATTGTTTGCAATGACCCTCTTTCCAAATAAGGCCACAATCTTTTTTCGAGGGATACATTTCAACTCATTAACACCTCATTAAGTGGAATAAGCCCTGGAGTTAAAAGGAAATTATTTCCCATTGATTTGGAGAATTTTGCACAAAAAGTTGGCTTTATTTTGTGTTGGATTCCTAAGTTCCGCAGAAATTGGCAAGAATCCTAGAATTCTCATGAGTACTTATTACTGGCCACATCTCCACCACCTCCTGGACAGTAGCTACACAGACACTGCTGCCTCATAAAAACGCAAACACACCATCTTTCCCTCCCAAAGCCACCGCCCTCCTGACTTCCCTGTTTTTCACAAAATTAGCTAAAGTCGTCCCATCTTTCCTGAAAGAACCCAGAGTTAGCAACAGAGACATCAATGGTTTAATGGATAAGGGATCTTACACATATGAAGCAAAAGGGTTCTGGAGCAGCCCCACATGGTGGAGGGCAGGACATGGTAGCAGTCTTCATTGGGTGCGGGGTTGGGGGGCGGGGGGAGAGGTTACCAGTTATAGAGGGAAATGACCTCAGGTGGGTACATTGGTTACCAGGGAAACCAGCAGAGGAGCACAGCCCCTCACTGCCCCTTTGATAAACTATCCCAGTGGAGATGTTTTGGGCTATAGATTAGAAAAATCACTAGCTGGGGCCGGGGGCAAGTACAAAGGCATTTACTGATTAGGCTCCATAATTAGGAGCAAAGGTCAGCCACCTGAGTAGGGTGTAGGAGAAGCAGGGACTGTTCCAGCAGGGTATGTACAGAGAGCAAGAGAACAGCCATCCTGAGTGGCCTGATCACACAACCTCCCAGGTTCAATTCCTTATGGTTGCCTGTCCCTTGAGAAGATACACTAGCTTCCAAATACACTTTGCTACTAGGCTCTTTACCTCCAATCCAGCCTCACACTTCGACATATGCCCAAATTTTTAGAAACACACCTCAAATCTGACTCTACAAAAGCCCCGGTGGTTTCGAGTTACCTCGTGGAACTATTCAGCTGATCCATTCTGCATTCGAGGCCCAGCCAAATTTGGAGCCAGCCTCGGCTCCCTCCATCTCTTCCAAATAGGATACTTCCGAGGCCCAGTGTCAAAGCCACCTCTTCCTACCTCTCCCTTCCTTGAAGGCTGCCTTCACACAGTTCCCCCCTTGAGCTCCTGAAACACCACCTCGCACCTGTCCCAGTTACTCCATTTTGCCTGGTGATTTGGTTTATGTATGTGCCTGCCCACGCTCCCCCACCAGGCTCTAGGCGGGGCCCCAACAGGAGCTCATCAATCTGTATGCCTAGATAATAAACCCAGAGAGTCTCCCCAGAGGAGGGATCTTGCCAACTACAGGCTAAAACCCGCCCAGGCGTTCTCTTCCCAGACATTCTGCTCACCGGCAGTCACGGGCCGGAGAGGGCGAGGCCGTTTCCCGGATGCAGTGGAAGGAGCCTGCGGCGCACCCGGGGGCTCCGGATCCCGGCACAAACCCGGCCGGCGTCTGCCCAGAGGCGCAGCGGAGCGGCTGCCAACAGCCCAGCGGGAACAACCTCGGGCCGGCCAGCCCGCTGCTTCCGCTGGAACCTTTCTACTGAAAGGCCGGGCGGTTTTGGGCGAAGCACGCAGGAACCGGAAGTTAGTGGAGGAAGACGGGCGTGGGACTCTACTGCTTTAACGTGGAAGATGAACGTCCCTAGTCTCCTCTTGGCGGGAGGTAGGGTGCCTGCAATACTGGGTGAATCTCCCGTCTGACATTAGCCCCTGGTCCTGGAGTATTTCCCCCTTGGGTCCCGTGTCCAGGTCTCCTTCTTGGAGTCCCCGCTGAGTTGACGGGGCGGTTCTGGTCGCCGAGCCTAGGAGCGATTGTGCTTTCTTCCCTGGGTTAGGGGTCCACGAGCGACTCCTCGGACTGCGCCGAGGGCGGAGGGTTCAGAGTCCAACGGCTGCTTGCTTGCTTCTGGATGCGTTATTGTTCTGTGGCCGCAATGTCAAAGTTTCCATTGGTTTTACAAAGTTGCTCTTTATATGGTTTTTCTTCTTTGTAGAAATATAGTCATGGTAGAAATCTTGAAAAGTGTACAAAAGAAAATAAAAACCGCCCTTAAACCTACCAGTCAGCTAAAACATTTATTATAAACGTATAAAATTTGGTTTTTCTCTTTATTTTTGGCTGCGCCATGTGGCTTGCGGGATCTTAGTTCCCCCACCAGGGATTGAACCCTGGCCCTGGCAGTGAAAGCACCAAGTCCTAAACTACTGGACCGCCAGAGAATTCCCTAAAATTTAGTTTTATTTGGTTCCACTGGATGAGAAAGAAACTATTGAAGATAAATATTGTTAAAAAGATCTATTAATTGGAAAAAGATTTCTCTAAGGTTAAAAATTTCAAAAACGTTAAGCAGTTGAAATCATTTTTTAAATACATGCTTCTTGGACATAAAATAAGATTTCTAGGTAGTAAAACCTAGGCGTTATCCATAGAAATCAGAAGATATCTCTTATGGATATGATCCACTAGTTCTTTCTTTCTGTTTGGCTGCGTTGGGTCTTCGTTGCTGCGCACGGGCTTTCTCTAGTTGTGGTGAGCGGGGGGCACTCTTTGTTGTGGTGGGCGGGCTTCTCATTGCGGTGGCTTCTCTCGTTGTGGAGCACGGGCTCTAGGCACGCGGTTTTCAGTAGTTGTGGCTCGCGGGCTCTAGAGCGCAGGCTCAGTGGCTGTGGCGCGCGGGCTTAGTTGCTCCGCGGCATGTGGGATCTTCCCGGACCAGGGCTCGAACCCGTGTTCCCTGCATTGGCAGGCGGATTCTTAACCACTGCGCCACCAGGGAAACCCCACTAGTTGTTAAATTATAGGAAAGTCAATGTCACTTTGCAAAGGCTCTGGTTAGGCCACAACTAACGCTAAAAGGAACTAAGACGTCTCAACTTACATTTTGCTAAAATTTCCTTTCAGGGAGGTGGAGATGTTTTCCAGTTCCATTAGGGTTCTCCTTATTCCAGGGCCTACATAATTCCTGCTGTCGGAAAAAATCCACTGCACCAAAGAAAATTATTCCCCATGTTGATTTTTCTGATGAAAACGCAAAGGAGTCTGGAAAGGCACTTGACAAGCTCTTCTCTTCAGAACAGCAGGCTTCCATCTTGCATGTGTTGAATACAGCGTCTAATAAAGAACTTGAAGCTTTCACATTGCTTCGTGGAAAAAAGTCCCTCAGTATTGTAGAGCACAGAGAAAAGTTTGGGCCATTTCAGAATTTGGAGAGTTTAATGAATGTGCCCTTGTTCCAGTATAAAACCACCATTCAAGTTTGTAACTCCATTCTTAATCCAGAGACTGGAGGGAAAAAAAGGAAGTTACAGGAAAATCGGCTCTTGAGAAAGCTCATCAAACCGGAAGTAGGAAGAGAGAGACTTAAGGTATACTCTTTTTTTCTTAATGCGTCTTACACTGCCTAAATATTTGAGAACCAAAGCACTATTCTGGGCACCAAGACGGGGTTCTTCAGGCAGATTATAGTTTAGTTGGTGGGCCCAGAGATACACATATAAATAGATAATCTATTATATGGTTATTCTCAAAGAATGAGATGTACAGGTAGTAAATTGGCAATTTAGAGGAGAGAACTGTGGGTTGGGGAATCTTTACTAGAAGAACTCAGCCTGGATCATGGAGAGCTAACTAGGCTAGCAGGAAGAGGAAGGCATTCTAGGAAGAAAGGACAGTGGATGTAGAGAAGTAGGTCTGGGCAAGACTTACTTAGGAGGAATGTTGAGAAGATATATGGCTGTTTTCCTAGGCTCCTCCTTCATCTCACATATTAATTCTACTCCTATTACTTCTGATCTGTTTCTTGTGCTTCTTCACTGTGACCTAGATTCTTAGTACTTTGTCGTGCAACAGGTACCTAACACAAATCCCCACCTCTAGTCTAGACGCCTCCAGTCCATCTTCCACACAGCTGTCCATGTTCTTTCTGAAATGTATATCTCGTGTTACACCTGAATGTTGTATGCTTTGGTGGCTCCCTGTAGCTCTCAGGATAAAGGAAGTTACTTTTTGCAGAAATTTGCCTACCCCTCTGCCCTTTTCCCACTTGCACTCTTTCTTCCACTGCCTGAGTGAGAGGTGTCAGCCTGTATTTGCAGACATCTGGGTGAAACAACTCCCCGTTTACCATTTTACTCATTCTCCTAGTCCTCTAATAAGTCTTCCTGACCATTCCGCCTCTCTACAGTGTAACTTGTATGGTGGCATTTCTTATAATATATGGTTATGTCCCTTGTTTCCCAGTATCTAGCACATTCCCCGGCAACATCTGAATGTTTGAATGCCTACTTTGAGCTAGTTGCTGAGAACAAGTAAAAGTTCTGTTTAACAAGTAAAAGACTGCTACTGGTTACCTTTCAATAATAATTACTCTTTAACAATTCTTAGTTCATAAACTGTAAATATATTTCTATTAATAAACTAATTTGGATTTCTGAGTTTGTATCTTAAATTTTACATCTGTTAAAATGTTTACACTTGTAATTAAACCAGCCTTTTTTGTTCTAGGCAATTAATAGTATTGTATCCATTGTTTCTGGTACTCGAAGAATTGCCTGGGCTCACCTTGATCGTAAACTGGCAGTGCTGGACTGGCAGCAAACTGAATACTGCCGATTGATGAAAGGAACATACCTATCGTCGGTCTATTTAGAAGAGGTAAGGCAATTACACCTCCAAATCCCTACCTGCTAGAGCTCCTTGTGTAGTCTTTTAGTCCTAAAAGGAATGAAATAAGATAGTAAGGATGGATTTTCTTTGGGTACTTATTATTCACCCATTCCTGTGTTTTCCATCACTTACGATTTTTTAAAAATTGAATCATTTAAGAAATGCCTTATGAATCAAAGGCAGATCCTGAGAAAATCAGTGGTAAAGTATATTACTCTAAATGTTAAGAAACTTCATTACCATATTTATAAAGCTTATTCTTTTCTCTTATTTTTATTTTTATAAAGCTTATTCTTCAAAAACTATTACTTATTGTCTCATTTAGTCTTCAAAACCTGGTGAGATGGGCAGTAAGTAATGATCATCCTGATTATATCTATGAAAACTGGTTCGATCAAGTATATGATGTGATTAGTCAGTTGCAGAGGTGATTGATTCTAGGCTAGTTATTCCAACCCTATACTCTACCCTAGAATTTTTTAAAAGCTAAATAAGACAATTGTGTCTAATCTTAAAGCCAATATAGTTTTTAGGAATTATGAAGCCCATTGTACAGATGAAGAAACTAGTAATTAGGAGGATTAACTGACTTGTTTTAGCTCAGCTTGTTCCTACTAGAAAGAACTTAGCTGTCCTGACCCCTTCATAAAATGCTTTTTCAATTACTTCAAAATTGTCAATAGCAATATTATGTAAGTTATATATTTAAAAAGTAGAAGTGGGACAGAGAGGGGGCCCAAACAATAAAACTTAATGAATTATTTCTGTTCACTTATTTTATCTTCCCTCCTTCCCCCCCGCAACCAAAAAAAAAAGATTTCTTCAGTTATTTCAAAGATGCCTAAAGCCGACTTCTATGTCCTGGAGAAAACAGGACCTTCATTTCAGAACTCATCTCTGTTTCCTATACTATTACATTTTCATATCATGGAAGCCATGCTGTATGCCTTGCTGAATACAACTTTTACCCAGGATGGCCATCATCAGGTGCTGAGCATGAATCGAAATGCAGTGGGGAAGCACTTTGAACTGATGATTGGTGACACACGGACTAGTGGAAAAGAGGTAGTGAAGCAGCTCCTCTCAGAGTCTGTACTGAAAGAAGAGCCTCGGGTATTCTTCCCACTAGATAAGATAGTCCACTACAGACAGATGTTTTCATCTACTGAACAATACAGGGTAGAAGAGTTATATGATTCATTATTACAAGCTATTGCCTTTTATGAATTGGCAGTTTTTAATACTGAATCTTAAAATTCTGAGGTTAGTATGTTACATGTTCTTAATGTCATATTAATTTATATTTATTAGGTCTGAAGTTTTAAAACCAACTGTTTTGAACATCCGTGTTAATGGAGAAGAAAACATAAGTTTGAGTGTATTTAGATGTTTCAAGTCAGACTTTTGGCTACTGAGTGGTTTATGCAATAATAAACCAAGGCTAAATCAATAAATACGAGATTCTGTGCCTTTTGGGTTTAAGCGTTAAAAAATAAGATGTTCCCTGAACATCCAAAACAAGAAACAAAGTTATCTTCCTTGAAAGGCAAATGCCATCTCTACTAAAGGATTTGCATTATTTTCATACTGTTAAAATAGGGAGTAGTGATTTTTCTGGATGGTGCTCATCATGGGAATAAAGCTAAATATAACTGATAACACAGCTTGTAGAATCCTCTTCTTACTCTGAAAGTACAATGTGGTTTGATGCACTGCCTCCAGAAGGGAGTTTTCATCAGCTCAATCTATTAAGCCCAAAACAAATAAGCTTTGTTTAATAGGCTTTTTTTTTTTTTTTTTTTTTGGCTGCACCATGCAGCATGCAGGATCTTAGTTCCCCAACCAGGGATTGAACCTGTACCCCCTACAGTGGAAGCGTGGAGTCTTAACCACTGGAATGCCAGGGAAGCCCAATAGGCTCATTTTTAAACTTTGAAATTTTTTTTTCTTTGGTCTGCATTGAGTATTCGTTACTGTGCACGGGCCTTTCTGTAGTTGCAGCGAACAGGGGCTACTCTTTGTTGTGGTGCGTGGGCTTCTCATTGCGGTGGTTTCTCTTGTTGCGGAGCACGGGCTCTAGGTGTGCGGCCTTCAGTAGTTGTGGCACACGGGCTCAGTAGTTGTGGCTCGTGGGCTCTAGAGAGCAGGTTCTGTAGCTGTGGCATACGGGCTTAGCTGCTCTGTGGCATGTGGGATCTTCCCGGACCAGGGCTCGAACCCATGTCCCCTGCATTGGCAGGAGGATTCTTAACCACTGCGCCACCAGGGAAGCCCTAAACTTTGAAATATTTTACTTAACAGACCATCTTTTGAGAAAAGTAGCACTTTTTTCCCCACATCTCTCCATTTCCATTAGATTTGCCTTAGTTCAGGCCCTCATTATATCTCACCTATACTGAACCCAAGTCTCTCTGATGTCAAAGCATTAAGTCTTTTCTTTCCTTTAATCTAAAAGTGAAATATACTTGTTGGGAAAAAAAAATTCAAATAATCAGAAATCTATAAAATACATGGAAGTCCTCCCTTCCAGCACCTCCAACTCCCTAGGCAGTCTGATGTACACTCTAGACTGTGGCCGTGCACATGTAAATCTCTACATATGTGACTGTATACGTGAGCATCTCCACCTTGTAACTGTTGTAGATACCTCCAAGTACACATCTGAAATCATTCTCTTTCCTCCAGACCACGTCATTTGCCATTGTTTTATACTTTAGTAAACAGTTTCACCAACCATTCAGTTGTTCATGCCAGATGTGTGGCATTCTACTTCTCAACATTTCTAGAAATAGCTGTAGTGAAATGTGTCCAAATTAGACTTTTATAGGATAAGATGCTAAGTACTGAAGAGTCATCAAAATTTGGTTACTTTTATCACAAAAGTAAATCTTAAGTCTTACAGGAACCTTTAAGAATTGAGAAAATATTTCCCAAAATTATGCTTAACCTTAAAAAAAAAAGATATTAAATGTGTCCCTATTAGGGAGGAAAATACCCCCATTATTTCTTGGTTCTTGCTCATTTAAATACAATTCTATGGAGTTATTTTACTTTGGTTCCTCAATTGATGAGGATTATCCGAGTTTTCTAATAATTAAAGACCAAATTAACTGGTAAATGCTCTACAGGTAGTGGACTTTTGCATTCAGTAGAAAATAATAAATCCATATACTTAAAAAAATGCCTTAGATGTTATTCTCTTTTGTACAGGGACAAAACCTATAAGATATAGACTATATCCAAGCCTATACAATATCCATATTTACCCAGATGATTACATCTGGAACTCTCTAAACACTGCAGTCTTTTAGCTTTAGCCTTTAATTAAATCAGTGTACTATCAATACAAGAAAAGGTAGGTTGAACAAATAAGAGGTAAAAACATTTTGTACACAGGTATACATCTATTTTTCAACTGTACAAAATTAGGATCCTTATCTTTTGAAGTGAAAATTAATTCACCAGATAATGTAACTGAATATTAAGCTAATATATAATATAAACACTTGAAATAGGAAACTATTTTCAGATACATCTGATTGCAAAAATGATTTTAAGTGAAATGTGGTATTTTAAAATCTTGTAATTAAAAATATATACTTTCTCCAAAAATATAACCTTAAGTCGAAATGGCTATCATGTAGAAATCCTAGGGTAGAATCCTTTGTTACAGTTTCAGTGAATAGCAGTTTGTCCAAAATATTTATATTATCATTAATATCTTTATGAAATAAAACACCAATGATATAAAAATACAAGAAAAATGTACAAATGATTTGAATTGTCAAAACATACAAGATATCACATTTGTATGGTTGCTAAAAAAGATTTACGAAAACTACAATTCATAATCTTGATTTCACCTTGTCAGCGTTCAGTGATTCACATGGTAAAAATATACTGGATGAGTACGCTAAAAATAATTTTATCAGGAAGATCTTACTTTTTGAAATTTCTTTCCTAGGAAGTTTGCTTATGTATTATACATGCTATTTTGTATTTTGGATTGTATAAACTTATTTTATTTATTTATTTATTTATTTTGGCTGTGTTGGGTCTTCATTTCTGTGCGAGGGCTTTCTCTAGTTGCGGTGAGCAGGGGCCACTCTTCATCGCGGTGCGCGGGCCTCTCACTGTCGCGGCCTCTCTTGTTGCGGAGCACAGGCTCCAGACGCGCAGGCTCAGTAGCTGTGGCTCACGGGCCCAGCTGCTCCGCGGCATGTGGGATCTTCCCAGACCAGGGCTTGAACCCGTGTCCCCTGCATTGGCAGGCAGACTCTCAACCACTGCGCCACCAGGGAAGCCCTGTGTAAACTTATTTTTAAAAAAGATTATCACCTAGGTGATTCACATTCACAGCGTGGATTAAGGGTCACCAGAAGGGGAAAAATTATGGATTAGTTTAGCACTGAAGCACCTTTAGAAATATTCAGTGAACTCTACCTTCTAGAAACAGCTCACACACATACAAAAATACTCCAACAACGCTAAATCAGATAATACAAAAAAATTCAAAAAACCCCACCACTACCACAATTATAAATACAATTTGTAATTTTCATTTTAAATATTTACACACTAATAAGAAATATACAAATAGTATGTTTTAAATATACATTAAGAGAAATAAACTCTTCCATGAAAATCACTATAAAAATGTCTCTTGGGCTTCCCTGGTGGCGCAGTGGTTGAGAGTCCGCCTGCCGATTCAGGGGACACGGGTTCATGCCCTGGTCCAGGAAGATCCCACATGCTGCGGAGCGGCTGGGCCCGTGAGCCATGGCCGCTGAGCCTGCGCGTCCGGAGCCTGTGCTCCGCAACGGGAGAGGCCACAACAGTGAGAGGCCCGCGTACTGCAAAAAAAAAAAAAAGTCTCTTAAGGACCATGTAAGAATCTGTACAAGGCACTGTAAATGTAGGATATTAAGGGAAGCCAGCTGCCAAAGTGTTCATAGTCTCTTTTGAAATGTTAAGATGAATTCCTTCAA